GTCTCTGGTAAGATTTATTCCCAAGTATTTTATTTTTTTGGTAGCTATTGAGAACGGTATTGATTTTCTTATTTCTTTTTCAGCAATCTCTTTGCCACCAAGGATTCTGATGAACAGGATCAAGGAATCTAATATTGTGGAATAAGACACAAACACTAACACCTAGGTTATATCCCTGATATTCTTGATTCCACAAATCCATGCTGCCCTCTTCTGGATATTTTTGGAGCTCACTTATGAGATTACGTAACAATAAAAGTTTAGTGAGATGTAATAAATGAAAAATAATCATTTAACATCTAATAAGGAACTTAGCATATATGCTCACAATTAGAAACATAATTGATACAATAATTATACAAATGATATAATAACTGTTATAATAATTTATTTTAAAACATTTCCCAAATTTTGTTTTGAATAAAGTTCTAGCAACAGCAAACTAGCTCTGATGATCCAATCATTCATGTAAATGAGAAATAAATATTAAATACATATTTAATAAAAATAAATAAAACACTGCATTTAAGGCAGTGACATTTTTTCATACCCTTCCATGCTTATTCTCCTGCCTTCTAAAAACAAACCACAATCTGAATTTGGTATTTTTATTTCTAGTTCATTTTAATACTTTTCCTACCTATAAATATACTCACAAGTACACAGCATGGTTTTGTGTGCTTTGGGGTATCACGTGGTATTACATACCCCACATACACAGATGTTCCATGTCACAGGCTATACTTCTAAACCCAGCCCCCACTGCACCTGCAAATCAACTGAGAAAATGTGGACAGCTCCACAGAGAGCTAGCTCTACTATTCATATGTGAGAAATATTTGACGGGGCAATTAATATTACTGTTTTCTTCTTCAACTGCTGAATTTTCATTGCCGTCAATCCAAATTTGATTTATTAAGAGAAATTGGGAGAGGAAAGGCTCTTGGTATTTTTTAATTATTTATAGCTCTTGCTCAGACTCCTCAGGCAACCAGCACACTCTTCTGGCCTCCCCTAGCCTAGAGGTCCCATTCAGGTAATTTACCAAAGTCCATGTCTGACAGCATTCAAATTCAGAAAGCATTCCTTCTCCAACCACCCCATGCTGTTTAAATTTCTTAGTTATTAGAATAAAATGAAACAAAAATAATGCTATAGCTCTTGCAGTGCAGTGAATTACTTCATATGGCCCTTCTAGCCATAGTCTTTGTAAGCCCACCAAATGACTAGGTGGAACTATGCATGCGTGAGGTGCTTGTGGTCCACGAAGGGGACTGGATAGGTTGTTAATAATGTAAATAAGGCGCATGGCATTCTTAGGGGTGGGACCATGCAAACAAGCTTCATTAAACCCTAAAGTGTGGCTATGCCAGTTTTGCCACCCTGTTACACTTAAAATAAACCATCCCCCAAGGCAGAAAGGGGGGATCTCACTACTGTCAAGAAATAAGAGCCAAGAGGGCTGTCTGTCCTTTGGACCCAAAATCCCTGTGCTGACTTTCTCAATCCAGGAGACAAAGAGTGGTGACACCAGAGGCAGCAAGAGATGGGAAGAGCCAGCAGAATCAAGAGACAGGCACAAGGCAGAGTGATGGGCTTCCTGGCCCACAGAGGGAGAAAGCAGAGGTCTCACATGCAGGAGGCTGGCTCGTGGAGTGGGCTGCCTCTAGGCACTTATCCTTGGAGCTAGGTTCGCTCACCCATGGAGCAAGAAAGCTGAGTGCCTTCCGACAGGAGGCTTGCCATTAAAGTGGGGTGTCTCTCTGGGTACCTTTCAGCAGAACTAAGAGAGCTCTGTAACACTTGCCCAGGCATGGCAGAGGCCAAGGGGCCACGGGACCAAGAGGCTTGAAGGCCAGAGAAAGGTATGCCAGTAAGCACTGCTATGAGACTGTCCTGATCAAAAAAGTGTATCCTGAGTCATATCTGATCCTGAATAGTAACCTGCTACTTCCATAATCCCGTAACTGTGGATATTGTATGTGAGCTCTGTGTGGTCATTCCAACAAATTATTGAACATAGCAGAGAAGTAGAGAGTGCCGTGGAAGGGACAGTTGGTGTCAAAATGGGTAAAAAGGTTGGAGGGTAGGAGCCATGTCTGACTTCCACTCATCTGCCTTGGGCTATTGACCTTGATCTTTGTCCCCACTTGTGAAGTTAGAGGCAGTCAGACACCACCCCACACCATTTGTACAGCTCGGAAGCACAGGTATACCTCATTTTACTGTGCTTTGCTTTATTGTGCTTTGCAGATAGTACGTTTTCCACAAATTAAAGGTTTGCAGCAAACCTGTGTCGAGCAAATCTACTGGCGCCATTGTATCCAACAGCCTGTGCTCACTTTTTGTCTCTGTGTCACATTTTGGTAATCTCACAGTATTTCAAACTTTTTCATAATGCTATTAAACATTTAATAGACTGTAGTATAGTGTAAGCATAACTTTTATATGTTCCGGGAAACCAAAAAATTCACGTGACTCGCTTTATTGAGATATTCACTGTTATCGCAGTGGTCTGGAACTGAACCCATCATATCTCCAAGGTATGCCTGTAATAAAGGATCTCTGGAGGCGTAGTGGGTAAGGCGTTTGGCTGCTAACCACAGGGTTGGTAGTTCAAATCCACCAGGTGCTCCAAGAAAAGAAGATGAGGCAGTCTACTTCCATAAAGATTTATGGCCCTGAAAACCCAACAGGGGTCAATATGAGTTGGAATTGACTCAACAGCAGTAGGTTTATGTGTGTATTAAAAAACTATGGAAAATCTCTGGAAGGATATACAAAATACTACATTTAGATTTAAGGGAAGCAGGGAACTGGAAAACAGAATGGGGAGGGAACTTACTTTTTTTTATTAATAACCCTTGTTGTTGTTGTTGTTATGTACCATCAAGTCAGACCCGACTCATAGCGACCCCTCCTTGGGCTTCCAAGGCAGTATCATTACGGAAGTAGATTGCCCCATCTTCCTTCCGAGGAGTGGCTGGTGGGTTTGAACCGCCAGCCTTCTGGTTAGAAGTCAAGTGCCTTACGCACTACGCTATCAGAGATCCTTTTAAATTTTATACTAGGTGCATGTATTACGTATATATAAAATATTTTTTAAAACACTATAATACATAATATTCTATGTGCAGATGAAAATGTAATAAGTTAAAATTTTAGCAAGCTTGTTTTTAAAATATTTTTTAAAAAGTCTTTTATATAAATATTTGAAACAGTAATCTGCTGTAATTTCATTATAATGTAAAGGTCTCACTTTAATTCAAAATCTCAAAACAATAAGTTCCAGTATCTCTCATTAGGTCAATACACACAGAGCTGAAACACACAGCTCTTTTAGAGGAGTTTACGAAAGCTCCTGTTTCCCTGACTTCCTATGATGGGCCTCAATCCTCACCCACCAAAGTATTTCATTAGCACTTCTCCTTCATCATTTAGACTCTGTCTTGTGTCAGAGCTCAGGTGGCACAGTGGTTAAGTCATTCAGCTGCTAACTGAGAGGTCACTGGCTTGAACTCACCAGCTGCGCTGCAGGAGAAAAACGAGGGAGTCTCTTTCTGTAAAGATTACAGCCTTGGAAACCCTATGGGGCAGTTCTGCTCTGTCCTACAGCATTACTATGAGTAGGAATCAACTTGATGACACTGGGTGTGGTTTGTTTCTTTTTACATGTTACTTAAATACTTGCCTGTCTTATCCTCCTTCTAAAGTGCCTGTGGCTGGACTTGAACCTTTGACCTTTTGGTTAGCAGCTGAATGTGTTAACCATTTATAGTAAGCACTAATAAAATTATTAGCTTTTTATTGGATACCAGGGTCTAATTTACAAAGACATCATTAAATAAACAATCTATGTCCACAAACACATACAAAATCATTATCGTGAACTGTAACACTTTCTATAAGTTATTGCATTTTCTCTCCCATGTTACATAACTGTTCATGTAGACATGCTATACTGATGAGTAAGGAGCTCTGGTGGTGCAGTGATTAAGGCATTTGGCTGCTTACCAGGAGGCGGCGGCTCAAACCCACCAGGTACTCTGAGAGGTGGGAAGATGAGGCAATCTGCTACTGTAAAGATTTACTGCTTGGAAACTCTATGGCTCACTATGAGTTGGAATTGACTCGATGGCAGTATGAGTACTGACAAGTATTTTGGAAGCATATACCTTGCCTCTATCAAAGTATTTGTTCACTTTTTACTCAGATGAATTTGAAAATAATGAGACTGTAGAATGTTTTCAGGGATATGAAATCATCTTTACCCCAAAACAGGAACTTCAGTCAATAGATACAGTCTAAACTGCACCGATGTTTCAGGCACAGGCCATGCTATTTCAAAAAAATCAAACCAAACCCACCGCCATCAAATCAATTTTGACTCATAGCAACCTTACTGTAGTGGTTATGTTTGTGTGTCAACTTGGGTAGGCCTGGTTGAGTGGATGGGCAGCTGGATATAGTATTCCCTGTGATGAGACTGGTAATCAACTCCATGGTGGAATCTGAACAGTCATTTAGGAGCTAATAAAAGGAAAACACACAAACTCTATCTCCTATTTTTATGTGTCCAATAGTAAATGATCATAATTTTGCTTAAGTGTTATTATTAATTTTAGTTTTAAAACTGAAAAGGTTTTACTAACTCTCTTCACATCTCTAGTTACTCTGGATGGCACTTACATGCCCCATAGCATACAACTCAACTTTACCACAGTGAAATAATTTTTTATAATCAACTTACACTACAGTTTTCAGGTGGAACTAGAAGTTGAGTAATCTCACCACCATGCACACAGAAGATATGTTTCATTTCTCCCGAAAATATGTCCCAGATGATGACAGAAAAGTCCACACCACCAGAGAAGAGGGATCTTTGATCATAACGTGCTGAGACCTGATGAGGATATAGCAAACATGTGACTTTGTTCCGATGACCTCGGAGCGTTCTGTGAGGTGGCCAACCTGTGAATGAGGTTTTGGTTTTAAAATGGGAAAATGAAAGTCCTACAAAGTTTCAACAGTAAAAATGAACATTAATTGTCAGAATAGCTATGCATAATTTTATCACAGAAAAGATTTCTAATTTTATCTTCTAGAACTAGCCACAGGAAATTAGTGGCCACTGGAAATGTGGTTAGTCCAGAATGCTGTAAGTGTAAAACACATAAGAAATTTTGAAAACTTAGTACAAAAGAGATAATGTAAAATATCTCATTAGTTTTTATCTATATTGGGTTAAAAATGTGTTATTAAAATTAATTTCACGTTTCACTTTAATATGGTTGTTCAAAAAGTGAAAATTATATATACAGCTTGCATTATATTTCTGTTGGACAGCACTGTTCTAGAAGATTGTCAGTGTTGCGGATGATAATTACTTACTAAACCACAACAGGAGCTAACAAACTAATAGTGAACAGTAACATTACAGAAAAACCAAATCCACTGCCACTGAGTTGATTCCAACTCACAGCGACCCCCACTGCATTTCCAAGGTGCTAAATCTTTATGGAAGTAGATTGTTCCATCTTCCTTCTGTGGAGTGGCTGGAGGGTTTGAACCGCCAACCTTCTATGCCTTAGGCAGTGCACCACCAGAGCTCCTTAACAGTAACATTAAGGAGATAAAATTGAAAACTTCCTTATTTACAGTCATTACATAATATACGTTAATAGTATATATTTTTTTATTCAATAATAGCCGTTGGCTTTTATCATCTGCCCAATAAACTCTACCAACTGTGTAGCATACTAACAACTATATTCATTTAACGTATATATTAAAAACAGAGTGGGTCATTTTCAAAATCATGGTTACAGAGTTCTCAAACTCCTTTTTAGATCTTCCATATACCTCTTCTGAGCATGTGTTCCCCTTGGAGCAGCTGGACTATGGCCGTCTGTGTGGCAGGTACAATAATTATGCTTCCGTCTTCACGACCACAAACGAGTCGTCCATGTGCTGGTATGTACACACTCGCAGTTACCTTAAGAGGTTCATTACTACTGGGAATCACACTTAGCTGATCTATGATTCCAGCAGGACGAGGATTCAGTTTATCAAACGCCTCTTGCAAACTAACAGAAGTTGTCATCTTCAGCCCTATAGAGGTTTTGTTGCATATAAAAGAAAAACATTGGTACATGTGAAGAAAATTCAAAACATTAAAATAATTGTGTTTCTGGTTGATTTGACAATATACCAAAGCACAAAAACTGTCATCAAATATCATTCTAAGAATAAAATGATGCACGTGCATTTGTAATTTGTTACTCAACAGTCGGTATCTAATATGTCAAATTAAAAGAATTAAGAAATTGTTGCCCATAATTCACTATTACCTTCTTCACCCTCTTTTGCCTCAAGTGTTTCTGATATGTTCCAAATACTCAGTCTTCCAGAAGAATCACCCTGAATTAACAGTTTATAGAAGTAGTCCTTGCATCCATAGAAGAACCGGGTAACAGGAGGACAAATTAGCAACTGACAAGAAAAAAAAGTTTAAATATCATTTGCTATTTTAATCTAATTATTTCACACAATAGCAACATTTTTCAAATAAAGATGTTAATGACTTTACTTTGGTACTAGAGATTTTTAAAATGTGTATAGCATGAGGATGCAACAATACTTTAACATAACATGGTAGCATCAACGTACATGTCAACTAATAATCAATCCCACTAACGTAAACAGCCAAGGATATGGAAACTCTATTTACAGTCTTTATCTGGAGTTAGTATTTATTCTTTTTTTTCTGCTTAGTGAAAATGATTACTCCCTACAACAGTGCAGTGCAATTTATTTAATCATCTTATAACCTTTAATTATCTTATATATTATGCAATAATGAAAACAAAGATATACCATTCCTTATCCAAAAGAAGAGTTCATTTAAAAGACTAAAACTAGCTTTTGGCCCATTCTTGATCATTGCTGTAGGTAGGGGCTGTTGAGTTGGTTCCAACTCATAGGGACCCAGTGAACAACAGAATGAAACACTGCCCAGTCACGCACCAGCCTCACGATCATTGCCTTGTTTCAGCCACTGGTGCAGCCACTGCCAATCCCTCTTATAGAGGTTTCCCTTCTTTTTGCTGACCCTCTACCTTACCAAGCAAGTCCTTCTCCAGGGACTGGTCCCTCCCGATAACATGCCCCATGTGAGATGAAGTCTCACCATCCTCACTTCTAAGGAGCATTCTGGCTGTACTTTTTCAAGACAGATTGGTTCTTTCCTCTGCCAATCCATGGTATAGTCAATATTCTTTGTCACCACCGTAGTTCAAAAGCATCAATTCTTCCTCAGTCTTCCTTATTCACTGTCCAGCTTTCGTATGCATATGAGGCGACTGAAAATACTTTGGCTAGCATCAAGTGCACCTTCCTCAAAGTGACATCTTTGCTTTTTAACTCTTTCAAGAGGTCTTATGCAGCACATCTGCCCAGTGCAATACATCTGATGTCTTAACTGCTGCCTCCAGGGGCCTTGTGTGAGTTCTTTAATGCTGCTATAACTGAAATACCACAACTAGATGGCTTTATTGAACAGAAACTATTTTCTTACTGTTCATGATGCTGTGAAGTCCAGATTCAGGGTGTGGTTTTAGGGGCATGCTTTTAGTTTCTGCTCCTGGGCCATCTTCATGTGGACTGGCGTCGCTCCTTCCCCATCTCTGCTGGCTTGGCTGCTTTCTTAGTCTCTTTTATATCTCAAAAGAGACTGGCTCAAAACACACTTTGCTACTAGTGCTGGAGCAAGATGCTATCTCATTGTTGTTTTGGTTTGCATCTCTCTAATGGCTAATGATTGTGAGCATTTCTCCATATGTTTGTTGCCCACCTGAATATCCTCCTTGGTGAAGTGTCTATTCATGTCTTCTGCCCATTTTTTAATTGGATTATTTGTCTTTTTGTTATTGAGGTGTTGGAGGTTTCTATAAATTCTAGAGATAAGTCCCTTGTCAGATAATGTCATTGCCAGATATTTTTTCCCAATCTGTAGGTTCTCTTTTGACTCTTTTGGAGAAGTCTTTGGAAGCACATAAAAATTTAATTTTCAGAAGGTCCCATTGATTTAGTTTCTCTTCTGCTGTTTGTGCATTTTGGGTTATGCTTGATAGTCCATTTGTGCCATATATTGTTGTTGTTGTTGTTGTTTGCCGTCGAGTCGGCCCCAACTCATAGCGACCCCTCCTTGGGTTTCCAAGGCAGTATCACTACGAAGTAGGATTGCCCAACCTTCCTTCCGAGGAGTGGCTGATGGGTTTGAACCGCCAGCCATCTGGTGAGCAGTCAAGTGCCTTAGCCACTATGCTACCAGAGCTCCCTGCCATATATTAGGGCCCCTAAATTTGCCCATGGGAGCTCTGGTAGCATAGTGCCTAAGGCACTTGACAGCTAACCAGAAGGCTGGCGGTTCAAACCCACAAGTCACTCTTCAGAAGGAAGGTTGGGCAATCTACTTCCGTAGTGATACCGCCTTAGAAACCCAAGGAGGGGTCGCTATGAGTTGGGTCCAACTAGACGGCACCTAACAACAACAACAAATTTGCCCATAGTTTTTCCTTGAGGAACTCTATAGTTTTAGGTTTCACATTTAAGTCTTTGATCCATCTGGAATTAGTTTTTGTGTATGGTGTGAGGTACAGATCTTGTTTCATTTTTCTGCAAATGGCTATCAAGTTTTGCCAGCACCATTTATTAAACAGACATTCTCTTCCCCATTTAATGGATTTCGGCCCTTTGTCAAAGATCCGCTGATATTAGGTCGATGGATCTATTTCTGGGTTCTCAATTCTATTCCATTGGTCTATGTGTCTGTCATTATAAACCAGGCAGTTTTTTGACTACTGTGGCTGTATAGTATGTTTTGAGATCCAGCAGTGAGAGACCTCCAACTTTGTTCTTCTTCTTCAACAGTGTAAAGCCTCACCATATTTTTACCATCCATACTTCTAGCAACATTCTTTTCCTGATACCATATGTATACTCTAAGACAACAGAGACTTTCTCTATAGTTCTCATAATCAAGCTGAAAAACCCAGAATTTTCCCACAATTACACTTTACTTCCAAAAGCAATACTTCTTACTTACTGTCCACAGAATATAGAGTTGAAAACTGAATACTAAGTGCTGTTGCTTCTTAATATTAAATGGACATTAAGTACAATTTCAGAAATCATAATAAACTTCTCTTTTTATACAGAAAAAATATATACTCAATTTACAATATCTAATGATTTAAATCTTTACATGCTCTTGGGAGCTATTGCAATGCCCAGTTAAGTAATGAATGGTTAACAATCAGGATTATTATACCTATTATCTTTGCTCTTAGAAAATTACATTTGTCACTATGTCTATAATTGTCTATAATTGCATGATAGTACAAAATAAATTTACTCCATCGATATGAATTTTAACAAAAAGTTGACTGTAATGTGTAATCAGCATATGATCACTTGTATTCTTAGAGAAAAAATAAACCAAACCAAACCCACTGCCATGGACTCAATTCCAACTCACAGCAACCAAACTCGTTTGGTCTCCAAGGCCGTATATCCTTATGGAAGTAGACTGCCTCATCTTCAGTGGGTTTGAGCCACCAATATTCTTGTTAGCACCCAAATGCCTCACGCACTATGCCGCCAGAGCTCCTCATTCATAAAGAAAGGGGAATGCTGTAGTACAGGCATTTATATATACAAAAAAAATAATGCTCAAATTTACAAATTGTGTTTAAAGGTGACCAAGTTAAAATGTCTTACAACATTTAACACGTGCCTAAGTTGTACTGAATGTTACAAATGTTTAGCTACTAACAAACACTAATTAATAGAGTTGAGAATTTTTAATGCAACTATCAATTATAAATTATAAGTGAAGATTTTACCTCTTTATCTGTTCGATCCAGGAGGCTGTGTTGTACAGGAGGAATTAAGTTTTCAACTGCTTTTCCCACATCACTACGGAATGAATCACTAGCTGGAAGGCAGCTAAAAATGGAAAAATACCACATTCAATTATAATACTGACATGAAATGTTTTATCATATCATTCCACGTCACAAGGCTTTCTAGACAATGGACAAAATGTATGTTTGTAAATTACAATTAATTTTATATAGTCATTAAATTAAATAATTTTTATAAAAATATCCTACTTTAAATAAAAATCCACTTAATTTCTATAATTAGAAGTTAAACTGCAGCTACAAATCGAACTGAAGATGCTACCTAAATTAAATATTTAAATTATACACAGTTTCATTCTTTCAGGTTATTATGCAAATTCTGAATGTTTCAGTTTTAATTAAAGAGATAAGTTATTTTTTATTGAGTACCTGGCAGGTAGTTTATAAATATAACTTTGACCATTCTCAGTCCAAATGATTACTTTATCTGCTGACACAAAGTCACCTCCAGTCCATGTCTGTCCGTTTTCACTAGGACCTGAACACAATAGGGAATAGTCTCCAGCATCAAATACCTACAAGGAACAAAAAATTCACAATCTAGTCCATGCTACTGTGATTTAAGTAAGAAACAGTGACACTTACTTGAAAATAAAAAAAAATGCTCTGGAAATGAAGTTGCTTTAACAAGTTCATCCTTTTAGAGCTGCCTCACTGACCTTTTGACATTTTGTCACTGAACCCTGGGAAACACAATCAGGTCCCCAGCTGTATGCAGCCTTCTGGTGGTCAGACAACAGACCATGACAAGAGTCAAGGAGCAGGAGTGTCCCCGACCCAGGGATGGGCGTCCTTAGGCTTTCTCACCTAGAGGAAGAACGTGCTGCCTGGAGATGAGACTGCAGTGCAGCAGACACCATGATGGCAGCCTGTGAGCAGTCCTGAGTCAGAACACCAGACGGGTGCATCCAGACCCCTGATCCGCAGACACCGGGAGATAATACACGTTTGCTGCTTTAAACTGCTAAGTTTCTAAGTAACCTGTGAGACACCTTTAGATAACTAATACAGTTACTCCCAGAGAGCTGTGAGGAGAAAAAACCGGAAAACTCTGAGAGAAGTGCTAGGGTCAGAGCAAGTGCTCAAATACACTTTTTCTACTGTGGAAACACTGAAGCATTAGCCCTGAAGTAATGGAGGGAGACCTTAGTCTGACCTCAAGAAGCCAGAAAAACCAATGCAAGCAGGTATAATTACTGCTGTTAGGTGTGGTCAAGTCAACTTCAACTCACAGTGACTCCACATGACAGAGCAGAACTGCTCCACAGCGTTTTCTACGGGAGCAGATTACCAGCTCTTCCTCTGCAGAGCCACTGGATGGGTTTAAACCACCAACCTTTCTTTTTTTTTTTTAATGAATTAATTTATTTCTTATTGTGATTTGGGTGAAAATTTACAGAGCAAATTCACTTTCCATACAGCAGTTCACATACACTTTGTCTTATGACATTGGCACAATTTACCACAATGCAACAGCTCACCTCCCACTTCCTCCCGATAATTACCTCTTCCCTGTGTCTGTCCCTCCATGCCCTCCTGCCCCCTGAGCTGTCTCCTGGTGCATAAGCAGCCCTGCTTTCTCCCATGATTTAAACCACCAACCTTTCAATTATCAGCTGAGTATTTAGCTTTGCACCACAAGGGCTCCTTTCAGGTACAGGAACATTCTACAAAGAGGTGTGCTGAACCTCAAGAAAACTCACTACCGCTGCTTATACTGACAGGTTAATGATTGAAACACTGGCAAAAAGTGAAAATGAAGATTAAAAGAATAATAGTCATGCAATGAACAAAAATAAAACTAAAAAGACAACTATTGCTGCTGTGCTGTTAGGTGCCATCCAGATGGCTCGGACTCATACAGACCCTGTGTACCACACAACAAAACACTGCCCCGCACCGTGTCAGCCTCACAGTCCTCGCTGTGCTTGAGCCCATCACTGCAGCCACTGTGTCTGTCCATCTCATTAAGGGTCTTCCCCTTTTTCACTGACCCGCTATTTTGCCAAGCATGACATCCTTCTCCAGGGAATGGTCCCTTCTAAGAACATGACCAAAGTAGGTGAGGCAAAGTCTGGATATTCTCACTCCGAAGGAGAATTCCAGCTGCACTTCTTTCAGGGCAAATTTGTTCGTTCTTCTGGTATTCGATGATATTTTCAATATTTTTCACCAATACCCCATCAAAAGCATCAGTTCTTTTCCAGTCTTGCTTATTCATTGTCCACCTTTCACATACATATGAGGTGACTGAAAATACCATGCCTTGGGTTAGGTGCACCTTAGTCTTCAAAGGACATCTTTGCTCTTCAGCACTTTAAGGTCTTCTGCAGCACATTTGCCTAGTGCAGTACAACATCTGATTTCTTGACTTGCTTCCATGGTTGTTGATTTTGGATCCAAGTAAAACGAAATCCCTGACAACTTCAATCTTTTCTCCATTTATTGTGATGTTGCTTATTCGTCCAGTTGTGAGGATTTTTGTTTTCTTAATGTTGAGATGTAATCCCTAATGAAGGCTATAGTCTTTGATCTTCGTCAGTAAGTGTTTCAAGTCATCTTCACTTTCAGCAAGCAACCTGCTCTCTGTCTCAGGCGTGTGGAACTATGATGTTGGGATTGGTTAGTTTTGCCACTCTGCCAGGCTTAAAATAAGCCCTCCTAGAGGCAGACTCTCTTTTACTGCCTGCTGAAAGAGATTCCTTGCTGAGAGAGATGCATTGCTGAGAAAGATTGCCAGCTGAGAGAGACTGAGCATGTTCCTGAACTTGAATTGTAGCCTGCTGCTTTCCTAATATATCCCATAATCTATGAGTTCTGTGTGGTCACGGCAGCAAATTATTGAACCCAGGAGAGAGCTTGTGGGTGCTGCAAGAGGGATAGTTGACATCTAGGTTGGTAAGAGGGCTGAAGTGTGACAGCATGTCTGGCCTCATAGGAACAGGCCTTGGCTGCTGATGGTGAGTCTGTCTTCCTCTTGGGAAGTTAGAGGAGGTCAAAAGATGCTGCCTCCTTGCCCCGTTAGCTGCCTTTTGAAATCTTTGTTTAATGCTTTTACTTCATCTTTTCTTCTATTAGCTTTAGCTACTCTCTGTTCAAGAACAAGTTTTAGAGTTTCCTCTGACATTCATTTTGGTCTTTTCTTCCTTTCCTGTCTTTTTAATAACCTTTTGCTTCTTCATGTGTGATGCTCTTGATATCATACCACAACTTGTCTGGTCTTTGGTCAATGGTGTTCAATGTGTCAAATCTATTCTTTAGATAGTGTCTAAAATTCAAGTGGGATAAAAGCAAGGTCGTATTTTGGCTCTCATGGACTTGTTTTAATTTTCTTCAGCTTCATCTTGAATTTGCTTATGAGCAATTGATGGTCTTTCTTCCACAGTCAGTTCCTGGCCTGGTTTTGACTAATAATATTGAACTTCTCCACGGTGTCTCTCCACAGATGTTGTCGTTTTGATTGCTGTGTATTTCATCTGGCGACGTTCACATGTACACAAAACCAAACTAAAACTCACTGCCGTCGAGTTGATGTGACTCATAGCGACCTCTCCTTGAGTTTCCGAGGCAGTATCCCTATGGAAGTAGATTGCCCAATCTTCCTTCCTAGGAGTGGCTGGTGGGTTTGAACTGCCAGCCTTCTGGCTGGCAGTCAAATGCCTTAGGCACTACGCCACCAGAGCTCTTTTATGTTGTTGAAAAAAGGTATTTGCAACGAATACATCACTGGTCTTACAAAATTCTATCATGCAATCTCCAGCATCATTTCTATCACCAGGGCTGTTTTTTCCAACTATCAATGCTTCTTTGTTTGCAGCTTTCACATTCCAATCACCAGTAATTATCAATACATCCTGACTGCATGTCTGGTCAATTTCAGACTACAGAAATTGGTAAAAATCTTTAATTTCTTCATCTTTGACTTTAGTGATTAGTGCTTAAATTTGAATTATAGTACTATTAATTAGTCTTCCTTGTAGGGATATGGTTATCATTCTATCCCTAACAGTGCTGTACTTCAGGATAGATCTTGAAATGTTCTTTTTGATGATGAAGGGATGCCATTCCTCTTTAATTTGTCATTCCCCACATAGTAGACCATATGACTATCTGAGTTAAAATGACCAATACCAGTCCATTCCAGCCCACTAATGCCTTGGATGTCAATCTTTATGCTTTCCATTTCAGTTTTAATAATTTCCAATTATCCTAGATTCATACTCTGTACATTCCTTGTTCCAATTATTAATGAATATTTGCAACTGTTTCTTCCAATTAGTAAATGAAGGTCCCAAAAGCTTTACTTCATCCATGTCTCTAAGGTTGACTCTACTTTGAGGCAGCTCTTCCCCATTTGTATTTTAGTGCCTTCCAACATGAGGGGCTCATCTTTTGACACTGTATCAGACAATGTTTCACTGCTATTTATAAAATTTTCCAGTAATATATCAGACAATGTTTCATTGCTATTCATAAAGTTCTCAGCAGCTAATTTCTTCAGAAGTGGACAGCCCCATCCTTCTTGCCAGTCTGTCTCAGTATAGAAACTCTGCTGAAACCTGTCTACCATGTTTGACCCTGCAGCTATCTGAAATAATGGTGGCATAGCTTCCAGCCTCACAGCAACAAGCAGGCCACCAGAGTACAACAAACTGACTGACAAGTGGTGGAAAAGACAACCATAAATAGCCAAATCCCAACCGCTCCCTCCACTGTTACAAAAATTTTTTAATGGCTATCAAAATCAGATGTGAATTCTAAATGGTTAAAATATTCTTACACCAACTCCCAAGACTACTGCCCTGAGATACTCTTTAAACTCTGTACTAAATCCACTCCCAGAGGTCACCCTTCAGCTAAATAACAGACTGGCTCATTAAACAAACAATATCACCCACAAGTCCTGTGCCTCTTTAAAAAATCACCTACATGAGACCAAAAGGTCAACATTTAACCTAAAGTTAAAATAAGAAGGAAAGAGGAAGGGTGTAGGGAAGCTAAATTGATGGATGTGGAACAATCAGAATAGAAATAATGAGGAGGTCGACATGTTGTAAAAAATGTAACCAAGGCCACTAAATAATAGGTATACAAAATCAAACAAATTTACTGCCATCGAGTCAACTCCAACTCATGGAGACCTCCTTTGGGTTTCTGGGTTGGTAAAGCCTTATGGAAGGAGATTGCCCCATCTTCCTTCCATGGGGCAGCTGGTGGGTTTAAATCCCCGACCTTCTGGTTAGCAGCCAAATGACTTATCCACTATGCCACCAGAGCTCCTTAATAATAATAGGTATGTTGTTGTTGTTGTTGTTATATGCCCTCGAGTTGGACCCGACTCATAGCGACCCCTCCTTGGGTTTCCGAGGCAGTATCACTACAGAAGTAGATTGCCCCATCTTCCTTCCGAAGAGTGGCTGGTAGGTTTGAACCACCAGCCTTCTGGTTAGCAGTCAAGTGTCTTAACCACTATGCTACCAGAGCTCCCAATAATAGGTATAGAAATCATTAAATATGAACCTAATTTGCTGTGTAGACTTTCACTAAAACTACAATAAAATATTATTTAAAAAATAATAACAAAATATTCCTGCACCAATCCTCTCCTTAAGAATATCTTTGGACATCTGATAAACCAACAGTTTTTAGGGTGGAAATACAGCATCTTACTGTGCATTATCTTACCCTCCAGTATTTGGAGCACACAACCAAAAGAGATCTCTGTGTGAATGCACAAAAAGAGATGCTTTGGCAATTCTGACAGTAGATTGGTTTGGATTCCTCTTCAAATATTGGCTCAGTATCCTGAAAAGAGAAAATATTTATAAAACTTTAGGAATGTTTTGGTAGTCAATTAAAATCACCACACAGTGATAACAAAACAAAATGAAATAAAGGCATCACTTGATACATTCACTATTTCCACTTCCCATATAGGTAACAAGGCAAAAAGCAACAACAATACACACAAACAGCTAGGCACAACTGCCTTTAGTACAAACCTAGTCAAGATTAAAACACTGGTAAGAGAGTGTCACCACTCTGGCAATGACGGATGATAAAAGCTCGGGCTACTACCAATTTTAAAAGCAACACATGCTTTTAATTAAAAAAATACTGATCAATTCAGCCAGTTTCTTCCAGATTCAATACCTAAAAATGCCCCCTAGCTGAAAAGATTAGTATCAATATTGTCAGAAACCAACCTGCTTTCTTACTGATAAAAAGTATTAAGGAACTCAAGCCCAATGAAATGAAATAGAAGCAAAAAAAAAAAAAAAGGCTTTATATACCTTTCGTGGTGGTATGTTTAGTTTTTATTTTTTCCCTTGAGCACACTACGTTTTAACTAAACGAGAAGCGAGTGAGGAAAACCATTCTTTTATGTTCTCTACCTCATATCCTGTGCAGTATGTTCCCCTCTCTCATAACCTTGATAGAACAGATGTCTACCATCAAAAGCAAGAAAATAAAAGCATCTTCTAACTACATCAACCAGACTATCAAAAAGAACAGCTTCCTCCTTTCCCCACAGGAAAAAAGTGTGGGCAGACAAGGATGAAAATTTAAGATGAAATAAGAAAAGCAGACAATTCCTCTGCAGTCTCATTTGGCTCACCTGCAAACCACTTATTTCAGAGGTAACGATCCACACCTTCAAAATGCCCGTCACTGACAGTGCGACCACAGTATCCTCTAGACAGAAAGGAACAAGCAGCCAAGGTTTATAAACATAACACACTTCCCTTCTACATACTGAGATGGTCCGCTTTAACGAAATTAAACAGTGTGTTTTACAACGAGCAGAAATACATAATTCTGTTTTTTACAGAATTATAGAATTCATATTTTGAAACACAGCTTAATCGAAATCACCAAAAATTTGGAATTAAAGGAGGTGTTTCTAAGTACTTAAATGTTTTTATTCTTTCGAATCAACAATTAATGCTCGATTATTATGTTAACAAAGAACTTTTATTCATCAAACTGGACTTTCAATCATCTATTATGAATGAGGACAGTCACTTTGTTTCTTCCAGGCACTCATTTCCCCACTTTCTCCTCTCCCACATTCTGTTGCACATTACATCCTTCACAGACTGTGATTAAGAGGAAGACATGATATAAAATCTAAATTCATCAGCTTCATGTAAGGGGCCAGTCACAGCATCAAAGAAAGATACATGAGCATCTGAAAGCAGTCTAACACAGGTAACAAAGTGAGGGCGGAATGTATTCAAAATTTTTCTTCACGAATTAGCCAATGAACTGTAGACAGTTTAACAAGCCTCTCTTACAGTCTCAATTTGCTTTGTTGTCGTTGTTGTTGTTTGCTGTCGAGTAGGCCCCGACACATAGCGACCCCTCCTTGGGTTTCCGAGGCAGTATCACTACGGAAGTAGGATTGCCCAACCTTCCTTCCGAGGAGTGGCTGGTGGGTTTGAACCGCCAGCCTTCTGGTTAGCAGTCAAGTGCTTTACCACTATGCTACCACAGCTCCTTCAATTTGCTTATCTGTTAGCAAACATAAATACAGCAAATACAAACCTACCTTAATGAGTCGTTACGAGAATTAAGACATACTACAGGTGTAGCACTTCCACATACTAAATCTTCAACAAAGATTAGTTATTAAAAAGAATTGTTTGTTATCTTAAGGAAAAGATGATCATATTGCATACTTTCCTAGGCAACATAAGACTTTGGGATTCGCTGATTATCACATTACCCATGATTCCTATACAGAGAAGCTATAACTGTTGCTCATAAGTATTGTCAATGACAGAAAAATGCAACATAAAAATATATCTGTAATTATCAAATATCCACAGACAAGAATATGGTAACTGCAGATTAAAATGCATATGCAGAAATGCGGGATATAATAAATGTGGAACAGTGCATACGTTTGCAATACTATAAGCCAGTAACATTTAGAATTACACAGACCACACTAAATTTTCCATTAAAATTTCATTCTATTCTTTTCAGATGACCAACCCTAGGTGTGCTTGTGTATCCCATTCATGGAGAAAGTACAATCATTTAAAATGTGTAAACTGCCTTGTGCTACAAAACCAGCCACACACATTACAGAAGCAACAGAAGAAAGAGTTGGAGTAACCTCTCCAAGATAACCATACACCTAGAGAGAAAGAATCACCAGGCCTGCTGACTCAGGACCATAATCTCGGGGGATTATCAAGCCCAATTGGCACAACACAGTATACAAAAATCTTGTTCAACAACCCACTTTGGTGAGCAGTGACTGGGGTCTTGCGGTGTAGTAAATTACATGATATGACTTTTCTAGCCATAGTATTTGTTTGTCTGTGTGTGTGTGTGTGTGTGCTTTAGGTGCAAGCTCACAGAGCGGATTTTGTTTTACATTCAACATTACGTGTACATTTAGTTTCACTCCCTATTTACCATCCCCAACCCTAACTCAGTCTCCTCCCATCCCTGCCTAGTAATCCTCCCCGCCACCCATGCCCCTCATAGTTAGGCACTCCCGTGTGTCCTGGATTTCCTCCATGTGACTGTTGCCCCTCTGGTACCCTGTGGTCAATTGCTCCAAGGGATGCATTTCCATAGAGTATGTGGGTGTGTCACCCTGGATTGAGTGGTCTGCGTGTATTCCTTGTTTATTATTGGGCTGAGAAACAACCCCTGGGAGTGAGTTTTATTCCAGGCCCAGAATATATCCCAGGGCCACAGTATTGGGGGTCTCATCAGACTCCATCCGACCAGTAACTCTGGCATTATTGAGTTTCTGAATTTTGTTCCACATTTTTCCTCCCACTCTACCCAGGATCTCCAGATCTGATCCTTTCCTGAGGGTTGGCATTGGTAGATGGGCACCATCTAGTTCTTCTGGTCTCAAGGGCCATCGTGTCCTAGGGCTGATTGCTTCCAAATGCCCTTGTGTTTTTGCACTCTTCTTCACTTCCGATGATAGGAGATCATTAGCTGCATCTTATATGGCCGCTTAAAAGCTTTTAAGACCCCAGGCACTACTCACCAATCTAGGATGAGGAACAAGACTTTTATGTATTTTGTTGTGCCAATTGAGCCTGGTGTCCCCCAGTACTATGGTCCTGAGTCGGTAGAGCTACAGTGTCCAGCTGTCTGTGAGAGATCACTCTCTAGCCATAGTATTTGTAACTCCCACTTTGCCATAAGTGACTGAGTAGCTGCTTGTTAAAGTGATCCACCTGGAGCAACACAAGGCAATCTTCTGGGAAGTTCACTTTCTCTCAGGGGTATAGGATTCTGATGTTGGGATTGGTTAGTTTGGCCACTCTGTGAGGCTCAAAGGAGCCCTTCCAGAGGCAGAAGGAGTCTCTCTGACTGCTGGCTGAGAAAGACATGCTGCTGAGAGAAACGCGCTGCTGAGAGATATGAGAGAGACACACTGGCGAGAGAGAGACACGAGACACTCACTACTAAGAGAGAGACGTGCTACTGAGAGAGACTGAGAGAGACTGCCAGCTGAGAGAGACTGAGCATGTTCCTGAACTTGAACTGTAGGCTGTTGTTTCCCTAATAAACCCTGTAAGCTATGAGTTCTGCATGGCCACTGCATTGAATTATCTAACCCAGCAGAGAGGTGGTGCGTGCCGTGGGAGGGACAGCTGGGGTCAAGGTTAGTAACAGGGCTGGAGGGTGGCGGCATGTCTGGCCTCATAGGAACAGGCCTTGGGCTGCTGATGGGGATTCTGTCTTCCTCTTGTATAGTTAGAGGAGGTCAGAAGATGCCACCTCCTTGCCCCTTTGGCAGGTCTTAAAAGCTTTCAGGAGGCCAGCTAAGATGCAACTATTGGTCTCCTGTCATCTGAGGCAAAGAGGAATGAAGAAAATCAAGGCATCTAAAAACAATTAGTCCAAGGTTATGATGGATCCCAAGACCAGAAGAACTAGATGGTGCCCAGAGCCAACAGCTCGGAAAGGGATCAAAACTGGAGATCCTGGATAGAGTGGGAGGAAAAATGTGGAACAAGATCCAAAAACACAAAAATGACCAGAATTAGGAGGCGGGGCAAGATGGCGGACTAGGCAGAAGGATTGCACAGACCCTCTTCAACAAAGAAAAGGGAAACCAATTAACACAGACACAGAAG